TCATCGTGGTTTTCAAGTTGAGAATAACAATATTACATCAAATAGTGGCTGAGATTTGTAATATGTGCGGAATGGACACTATATGGTTGGCATAAATCATCCTTCTAAATTTTTTCTGAAGAAGGCGAGTGACTGTCATCCCCAATAATATATAGTACACTTTTATGTACTTTTCTCCTTTTTATATTTCTTACTCTCTCCTTAATTTTAGGTCGGGGTATACTGGTATAATTAAGATTGGAACAAATTATTTCAATAATTATTAATTATTACGGGCGTGGAAGTTTCTTCTTTTTCAAAACTTCCTATTTTTTCTGTCAAAACTAGTTAACTTCTCCTTCTTTTTGGATACTTTATTTTATATTTTATTAGTATTCTTATTTTTCCAATCATCTTATTACAATGTCACTCTTTTTTACTTTTTCTTAATTCCCCTGTTATGTTTATCAATTTTACTTCCTTTACTTCAAATATGAATTTATATATTTTTGTGCGTTAAAATTATATTTTGTGTGGCATACGAAATGATATTTATTTTTCTGAAAACGTTATTATTGTCGTGTGCTGCGTTATCATATTACGATGTTTCAAAACTATGTCAACATAGTATCAATCTTGAACGATTATGGTATAAATTTGTATTATGGTGGTATATTTACCTACCATTAATGGACATGATAGTTTCAAGCACAAGAATAAATTATTATATTGTAACAATTTTTCATTTAAATTATACATAAGTTGATATACTTTTATAATTATAATTAAGTTGAATTTATTCGATAACACAAAATGAAGTTAATCAACTAGATTAATGTTAAGAGCAACAATCTTTGAAATAGAGACATTGGAGATGTTTGCTTTAGCTTGATGTGAAGGTAAAACCTCATGTGCTTAATTGTTATTAATTTATCTTGAGGTTTATTTTCTGCAAAGCAAATTCTTTTGGTTTGACTTATTGTTTAAGATGTAAGTTTTTCGTTGAAAAGTTTAGCTGTATTAATTATTTGAAAGGATAAATATTGTTTATGATCTTTACAACTTTTACATCTTAGGAAATTATCAAAAATATATTTTATTTACTAATATATGGTTAATGGTATATGGTGAAAGAACATATCTATATGCTATTAGAGATAGATTTCCTTGGATATTTGGGATTTAGATTTATGGTGAAAAGTAGACGACTAATTTTAAGGAAAATATTTAGTATTTACCATAACTAACTTTTGAAACATTTTCTTATTTGGAGTTTGAGAAAATTGAGTTTAGAGTTTAAAGCCTTATATGTAGGCTCTTAGTGGATAATGACTTCATTACCTAAAAGTTAATGCATAATGTCTGGAAGATTGAGTTGAGAGTTAGGAGTTAAAACTCAAATATTAATTTTGTTTCTTTTTGTTTAGGATGTGATTGTATTGTTGAATAATATAATTAGATCTACTTAGTTTTATGTTCAAACATCAATTTAGCTTTTATGATCTAAGTTAATTTTGAAGATGGCTGTTGAGATTAAAAATACTAAACTATAGGTTAGAAAAGCTTATATAAAAAATATTTTGTTATGTACGTCTACTAAAACTTTAAATTCCGGCTAACTGGTCGGGTCAGAAGCTAGCTATAAAATAGGCCAAAACCATGTAAAAGAAACTTGGTCATAGCCTTATACAAATGGTGTAATTCAAATGTACTCGTAACTGAATTATAACAATATCCAAGTGACATAGCCATAAAAGTGCTTCGTCATGTCCCATTTTGTGATCAAATCCAATGAGCCTATCCTTAATTAAAAAATAATTAAGATGATCCATGGATCGATCTGGTTCACCATGACACTGGATCTTGATGACTATGTGTCTCGCCTAGGCTTTCATCATCTACATCCAGCGGAGTGCGGTTTGTAGTATAATTAATGTTGCAGTCCGGGGCGAAGATCGTCTGTGTTGGCTGCACCAGTCGGCACATCATTGGCTATGCAAGAGTACCAGCACCTGGTTAGGAATTTGCGAGAGACAATTTTGTTCTACATGTACGTGGTCATTATTGTTCGTTCAATCATCATAAATTGAAGAAAATACTTCGCCCTTATACAAGGCTACAATAATATTAGGGCTGGGAAAATAGACCAGACCGTTAGAAAAACTGTGGTCCAAATCGTACCGCACAGTTTGGTCCGGATTGTAGACCGTGAAGTATGGTCTGGTCTGGTCCATGGTCTGTATTATTTTATGATTTGATCTCTTGGTCTGGTCTGGTCTAGACCGCTGTTTACCGGACCAAACCGTAGACCCAACTGACTTGTCAATACGTGTTAACAACTCATTCGACCACTCTCCAAACTCCTACAACGACACCCAAGTCTCAACCTTAATTTTGTGAATCTCTTCCCTCCTTCATTCACAACCACATTTAACCACAGAGTAGAGATAATCGTGTCTCCATATGACATTATGTTAATGTTTATGACATTATGCTGCAAGCTGGGATGCTTTTACTTTGTATCTTTGTTATGTACTAAGATTTAGAGTATCAAAATTATTCATGCATGTTAGGATTAATGTTTTAAGGCAAATAACAATTATTTTTCTTGGTTATTGGTTCAATTTTTTGTGTGGTTGACTAAACAAATTATTCATTTTTCGTTGAGTGTGGTCTACCTGGACTAGACCAGACCGAACCAGACCGCACAGGCGGGGTATGGACCAGACCGTATAGTCTGTGGTCTGGTCTGTGGTCTATACTTTAGCCTCTCGGTCTGGACCGTAGACCGTATATATGGTCTGGTCTGAACCAGACCGCACCGTTTCCCAACCCTAAATAATATGCCATGATTTACATCGCTAAACAACCGGGCTTGTAACTTCTAATTTTTTATTTTTTTTGTCAAAGAAAAATACTTTTAATGAGCGAATATGAATTTTTCAATACTTTTAGTGACCAACTTTGCTGGGGTAATTAGTATAAATGATTATAAATCTTTGTACTTAGTATAAAATGGTCACAAAATTTTAATTTATAACGAAACAATAACATATATTTAGCGTATATCAAAATCATCATTTCATCATCCTCCGTCCAAAATCTGTTAATTAATCCAATCATCCTTCCAGTGAGCATTAGGGATGGCAATAAAACCCATGGCCGCGGGTATGCGACCGCCCCCGACCCAGTCAACGCGGAAAATCCCCGCTTTGACCGGGTATGGGGCGGGTATGGGTAAAACCCGCAAAAAGTTTGATGGGTATGGGGCGGGTATGGTTTTGACCTCCCCCGCCCCATACCCATACCCATACCCGCCCCACCAAGAGAATTTCTTCACATATAACAAAGGGTTAATATTTTCGTATGGCCTGAACTTTGACCAAAATAAACATCCTGGCCAATTTTTTCGATCTATAACATCCTGGCCCGAACTATACACCAAAATAAACAATTTGGCCAGATCCGACTTTTGACCGTTAACTTGGACGGTCAAACGCGTTGACATTTAGTCAACGCGCCATGTCACTGCCAAATCAGCATAAAATATTTAAAATAATTCATAATTTCCACACATTCCCTAATTTTAAATTATTATAAATTAAAAAAATCATCTAATATCTTAGTTAAACCAAAAATAAAAAACGAAAAAATTAAATATTTATTAGATCTTCTGACTTGGCAGTGATGTGGCGCGTTGACCGTTAGTCAACGCGTTTGACCGTTAGTCAACGCGTTTGACCGTCCAAGTTAACGGTCAAACATCGGGTTTGGCCAAATTGTTTATTTTGGTGTATAGTTCGGGCCAAGATGTTATAGATCGAAAAGATTGGTCAGGATGTTTATTTTGGTCAAAGTTCAGGCCATACGAAAATATTAACCCTATAAAAAAATATGTGGATTAAATTGTAATCTATCAATGGTGATGAGGATAACTCAAGAAAATAAATAGTAGAAATGCAATTGAGTGACCATTTTAATCAAAATATAATTCATTTTCCTCAATTCTCCTTTCACTCTTTCACTTTTCCCCTTGTCTACAAGATTATGTTAGTTAATTATTACTTAGTAGAGGTATAAGAGTTAGAAGATAATAATTTAAAAATATTATACTCTATATTATGTATTAATGGATGTTTTAGGATCATATACTTTGAACCGTATTAAGAAAATGATCGTGTTTTGTTGACTTCATGATATAATAAGTTCGTTTAGAGTAATAATTAAAAAATTTCTTGTAAATTTTAGGTATAATAATGTTGGATGTATGGGTACGGGTATTACCCATGGGTACCCGAAACCCACGGGTATGGGGATGGGTTTGCAAAACATCCCGCATGAGTATGTGGCGGGTATGGGTTTTGGTATTTGAAGATGGGATGGGGATGGGGATGGTTTAGACAAACCGGCCCATTGCCATCCCTAGTGAGCATCCATATCATCGGAAAAAGTAACAAAAAATAGAATCCAAAAGCAATTAAACCATTCCTCTCTACTCTCCGCCACCATCCTCCAATTTCCAAACATGTTGCCATTTTAAGTTAAAAAATTTAACCCTCCACCGCCGCCCCGCAACTTGCTATCTGAAATCCCTAAAAACCACAATTTCTTCTCCCCTCCAGCCACAAATTCAATTCCCCAAATCAAATCTTTTTTTTCTCTAAAACAAATTTCAAAGATCCGAATCTGGAAAACCCCGACAGATCCCCAATTTTAATTTTGCTCAATCTTCTCACGCCGCCATGAAATCGAAAGCAGGGCACAATAGAAACGTGGTCGTTAGGATAATAACTTGCCCGATTCGGGTGCTGGGCAGAGCCAGAGATCTCTATGTCAGAAACTTGACGGAATGCATAGCCAACCACAACACTCGGCGTCGCGTCCCTTCATTCCCACCGCAACCAGTACAGCTCCTTACCCCGCAGCCTCGCCTCCTCCATCTCACCCCAATAACAACAACAACAACCTTCCCAGCAATCCGTTCCGCCGAGACCTAATCATGACGTCGGGGCTCCACGCCAATGACCTGCGCTGGATCTTCCACCAGCTTGACCGCAACGGCGACGCCCTGCTCAGTATTGACGAGCTCAGCTGACTCCTCGACTGAATTGGATCCCTCCACTCCACCAACGATGAGCTCGACTCCTCCGTTGGATGAGACCACCTGGATGGCTGCCGCCGGAAGATTTCGCCCTATGATACGAATCTCGACGACGTGCTTGAATTTGAAAAGTTCAAGATGAGATGAAAGAAAGGGAAGTGTGAGGGATAACTGATAAGGTTTCTATTGGGCAGGTTAGCGTATGGTTGGTTGGGTAAAGAGCTGGTGAATCGGTTAGGGTTGTTCGGGTTAATTAGAATGATTGAATTAATTTTTGTTAACAATTTAATGACGTGTCATCCTGATTGGGAAAAAGTAATAGAATTTTAGAAGGAAGTGGACAAATTGACCTTTTTGTTATGGCTAAATTACACGTTTGGTCACTTGAATTATATAAACATTTCACATTTGCCACCTGAAGTACTTTTCTTTCTTATTCGCCACTAACTTTACGAATCGTTTCACCATTAGTCACCGACCGTTAGTCTCCGTCAAACTCTGTTAACTCCGTCAGTTATTTGATGATGTGGCAAACAGAAATGCTGACTGGACCGTTAACTTAATGAGATGTTAATATAAAAATAAAAATAAAAAACTCCACCATCTCCATTGACGACTAAAGCTCGAGTCTCCAGCATCCCTTCCGACGAACCAATAGCCCAGCCCAGAATCTGGTCGGCCAACGCCGACTCCCCTTCCCCATCATCCGCCGTGGCTTCTCTCTGATTCTCCGCCAATTGAATCTGAATCAGAAAAGGAGTTATAGATTTTGATGGCGGGAGGCAGCTAGGAGAAACAAGAGGACGAGGAGAAGAGAGAGAACGAACCATGGATAGGGAGAGTGAAATAAGGAGGAGTCGTTCCACTGCTCGATCCGGGAAATGAATTGCGCCAATGGATGGGCGTTACGGCAAGGAAGCAGTTCGAGGCCCTGAGTACTTGAAGGCCAATCATTCGCAAGATTGGAGGGATGGCTTCCTCGCAGACCAAGAAATGGGTTTCGCCATTTCAATCCTACAGCCACGAAGCGCACAAGGCATCACTTTTCTTCTCATCTTCCTTCCGTCCATCCCAGGAAGTCAATACTCTACTGCAATTTCAATGCTGCAGACAACTTTACCTCCACCTTTCATGGCTTGCTTAACCCTTTCCCCACCATTTTTCTCTTTGTATTCCTATCCCCCTTCCTCTGTTTCTCATCTCTAAAATTCTGAAAGATTCAACCACCGGAGTTAGGAGAGCTCTCGATGAGACATTCACCCCAAATTGAAGAATGAGGTAACCCTAAATCTAATTACAATTGAAAACCCTTTGTTTTGGGTATTCAACCTGCAGGTGCTTAGCAATTAAGGACAACTATAGCGCAGTGGGTTGGTGCTTTTGAGTTGGGTCTTTTGCCGATTTGCGGCGATGGCAAGGAGCCATGGACGGGAGCAGCGGCGGCAAGTGGAGGGGAGAAGTCGGAAGGAAAGAGAGGTGAGAAGGGTTGAGATTTTACTGTTTTAGTTTAGTCTTTTCCTTTTAGCTCTTAGAAGAAAAAAAAAATGTGTTGGTTAATTGGGTTGGTGAGGCTGACTAGGCATTAATTGGCATGAGCAGTCTTTTTGTCAGCCAACTCAGCATTTCCGTTTGCCACGTCATCAAATAACTAACGGAGTTAACGTAATTTGATGGAGACTAACGGTCGGTGACTAACGGTGAAGCGATTCGTAAAGTTAGTGGCGATTAAGAAAGAAAAATCATTCGGGTGGCAAATGTGAAATATTTATGTAATTCGAGTGACCAACTGTGTAATTTAGCCATAATCACTCTAACTTGTTTTACTAAAACGTACAAAATTAAGGGGTTGTTTGCTTGATGAATTTGGTGAAGGATTTAATGATGGATTTGGATCCATGATGGACTTGTCCAAAATCCTTTGTTTGCTTCAAGTATTTAGAGGTAACAAATTCCTGGGATCCATAAACTTTAAGGGTCCAAATCCGTGGGCCCTACGGACTTGAAAATCCCACATATTTAGGTGGGGATTGATCATGGACTTTGAAGTCCATAATTTTTTACCAACCTACCCATCATATTTTTTTTTTTTTATATAATTGAGGACAATATACGTAAATTTCACTTTATACATACAAATTTAATTAACAAAATCAATCATGAAATCCGTCAAACAAACAATGGTGTTTATTAAATCCATGATGAACCCCCAAAACCCTCCATGGTTTTTCAAAATCTAAGTTATATCAAAACCTTCATTGTTCAAATCCACAAAGCAAAACCCTCATAGATGTTTGTGATCATTTTGTACAAAGTGAATAGGTTTGTGACCATTTATGATAATTAGCCCATTTTGTTGTGTCTCCGTCGGGGTGTTGACAATGAAACTACAACCAACTGGGCCAACCCAACCATTATCGCCAGGCTTATACATTTTTTTGATCCAACCATGATTTAAAAAGGATTTTTTTTTACCTCTCTCTATTTTTCAAACGCTCTCCCCTCTCCCTACTCTTCGCCGTCCTCCACTGTCTCCAAAGGGTGTCGCCGACACATCAGGGTGGTCGGCGGCAATCCATCCTTTCATTTCTAGCTTTCTATTGCCCTTTGCCAGCCTTTGATAGGCCTTTTCCAGCCCTCTCAGGCCTTTTCCATTTCCCTAAGTGGATTTCTCCACAAACCTCTCTTGTAGATGGTTTCTTTGGCAGATTTGGTATGTTTCCTACATATTATGGTTTGTGTGTGGTTCCTGAATGAGCTAAGGAGATCTCCTCTTTGGTTTGCTCTCATTCTTCAAGGATTGTGTGGTCCTCCTCCTTGCTTTGCTCAAGATGTGCGGTGATTCGGTGGAGCCCGGTCTTCTTATGTGAGACTCGATTTCCTTTTCTTGTGGTTTGAGAGCAGGGTTGCCTTCATTGGTTTATTTTATAAATGAACTAATGTTTCCGTAAAAAAAAAACCATGATTGTAGAGAGTTACAGATAAGTCGATGGTAAGGTATTATATGGTTTAATCGTGGTTCAACGTTTTCTTACGGTTGAATCTTATATCGATTTATTTTTGGTAGGTGATTTTTCCGGTCGGACTGTTGGTTCGATTTATCAAACACCGCTTATAATGTGTGTGTTTAAGTTGTAATGGGGAAAAAAGCAACTATATTTTTTTGAGTTCGCACAATGTATTTTTAAGTGGTTAATAATAAATTACTAATAAGGAACCGAATAGATTTCATGGCAGAAATGATCAATGGTGGATGGCCAAGATTAATTGGAGTCGCTGTGGAATTCGTCGTCAATCGTCTGGATAGCGGAGGTAGGCAGGTCGCGTGGAAGGTGGGTCGAGATGCCACGACTGTCCCAATAGAGCGTAGAGATTCTGTCGTCTTGGTAGGGGGTGGGAGCAACTGCCGGTGGTGGCGGAGAAGAAGCGTCGGTGATGTCAGTGGAGGGAAAATAAGCAGTGAGGAAGTAGATGGTGGCTGCAGCGGGTGGTGAAGGACAGAAAGTAGGTGACTCCTTCGTGGGAGAAGAAACTGCCTTGGCGGGTGAAGGGAATGGAGGCAGTAGTGGCGGGTGGACAGGTAAGCGCAGAGATTCCATCGTCGTAGTAGGGGGTGGGAGCAACTGCTGGTGACGGAGGTGACCCCTTGGGTGGCGGAGGTGATGTCAGTGGAGGGAAAGTAGGCAGTGAGGGAGGAGGAGGTGGCTGCGGCGGGTGGTGAAGGACAAGAAGCAGGTGACTCCTTCGTGGGAGAAGAAACTGCCTTGGCGGGTGAAGGGAATGGAGGCAGCAGTGGCGGGTGAATAGGTCAGCTTTCACCTCCACACCTTTCTACTTTTCCTCTCTGACACTCAAAATTCGTTCTCCTATTGAGAATCTCAATACAAATATTTTAATATTCCCCAATATCTCAATGAGCCTTAATCCATTTATTATATTTGCAAATGCAAACATCTTTATCGAATATTTGTGTAAGGAATTGCACGAAAGAAGTTTAAAGACAACTTACATATCTATCACAGAACACATATCTCCACACTCACTATCAATCACAAAACTAACCATCTGCATATTGGAAGACAACTTATATAATTAAAAAACTTCTCAATTCAACTCAACCACAACTTTTGTGCATGCCAAAATATTGATCTTGTGATGTTCCATCTTCACATCATTTCTGTGATATTTCATATTCGTCACCTCAACTTATAGTTCTTGTCTTTTCAACAACCCCTTCAACATTATTCAACATTCGTCCATGGCTAAAGCATGGTTTGTAAAACTGTACTAGAAGTCATACTGAATTTGTTTGAGGTATGGTATTTTTTTGATACAACCGTAGTTCAACCATTTTGTACCGATAAAATACCGTTTCTAAAATAATAAATTACTTTTTGTCGAAAAACCGTACCGACAAAAGAAACTAATGTACCGGAGTAATACCAAAATAATATCCAACGAGAAGCTGTGACATTGTGTTCTGGTGGTGGTGAGGTTGGGTCGGGTAGGGTATGGAGGTTTGTAGAAAAGAAACTAGGGTTTTTTGTTTGTTTTTTAATGAATAATATAATAATGAGGTGGGAAATATAAAATTTTATTTTTAATAATTTTTTAGTTGCCACATCACTATGAGAGTTGACTGCCACATCAGCCAAAGTTAAAGGAGTTGGACAGAGAGTGACCAAACGTGAACGGTTTCAGTAAACTGAAGTACTAACAATGAATTTAAATATTTCGAGTGACCAAACTTGAACGATTTTTGTAATCTCAGTCACCAACCATGCAATTAACCCCATATTGCTCATATCTTTATCGTTTGTGTTTACTGTAAGTATGTTTTATATTTGTATGGAGAACTATCTTCTCGACATTATATTATTATTGGTTTAATTTGATAATTATTGTTCTCCCAAGGAAATGAGCAACTGAAAGGCCTGCACTTTCAAAATTGCAAGAAAAATTTATACATTGCACTATGTTTGTGAGATCTAGGTAGCATAATCTATATTTTCCTATGTTTAAATACTTTTTCTTACAACATAAAGATATAAATTCTCTTTTAGTGTTGTGCTTGACCGATTGGTGTTCTCTTTGTAATGAACACTTATTAATGTAGAGGATTATGGAGAAGGCAGTCATCGACTGTCAAAATAGCTAGTATAAGAGAATGAGTCGGTTTACTATGAATTAGTCTATTAATAGGTATTTAACATACAAAACATTTATTATAGTCTATTTGTTTACTCTTTCTTGGTTTATTCACATAGTACACTTTCTCTACAATTTAAATTATAGATTACAACTATCCACTCCCAACCAAAATGATAAAGTAAAACACATCAATACGAAGAATAAAATAATCGCTCACAAAAATAAATGAAGAAAATCATTTTTCATTGTGAAATACGTATATATTTGCACTATAGTTTAGATTCTCATTATATGCAACTGTTTTTGTTTCGTTTTTTGTCTAAACCATATTTTTCGTGTTTCTTAGTTACCGAACATTTGAAATCTTTCGCTCTTAGACCTTCTTTAAGGACTTGTCAGTTGTCTTCTACTTTTATGTTAAAGAAAGTAAAGTATATCCCAAACAAAAATAACTATCACACTTCAAAAGTCTCCTTTTGTGGTAAAATAAAAGCCAAACTCCCTGACAATGGACAGTCCCCTCAATTCCTTACGATTTTATCATAGTCAGATAGCAAAGTTGATAATCATTTTTGGAAGTGCATAGGGATCTATAGGCGTGTCTTCGGTTTTAGTTCTATGACTGGCAAGATGAATCGCAGTTTGAATGTTAGGCACATAGTATACGTGTTTTAATGGAGAAATAATTTGAAAATCGAACCTAATCGATCAATTTGATAAATTTAATTTTCTATACGAAACAGTTGTGATCACGTTGAAGGAAATGTTAGATGCTCATAATATCTTGTCCGAACACTTAGATACGTAAAGGAAAAAAAAAATCAAAGAAAGGCCATTTACAAATTATAAAGTTGAAAATGTTGGCCAATCTAAGATCGGATGGCCCGGAAAATGATATTCAAATTGATGACAAAGTCAAAACTCTTTTTTTTTATATATATTTTTGCTATTCTTGGCCAAACCCACACTAAATCTTGCCATCTCCTATCAAGCGGGACATCAATAATAGACAATCAGAACAAATAAATGTAAAGAGAAGTAACAACTCAATATACTGAAGAAAAATGACAAATAATAACAAAAAAAAACAAGGAAAATATACCGCTCATCGGGCGGGCATAAGACTAGTTTGCATGATGAATGTATTTTATTAATTCTTCTGAATATGAAAACACAGTTTGACTTTTATGCTATAATTTTTTTCATCCTTAAACCTATCTTAAATGAATTTCAGGCTACACCACTAATTATTATAATACTCACCCTATCCGGTTAATTAGGTTTTAGCATAATTTTAATTTTATAGTCTATAATTAATTATTATCTCCCTTCCCAAGTCGGATCATACCAATAAGGCAATAACAATAATATCTAGTATTTACTAATCACTAGTATCAATACCCACGGCTACGCCGCGGGAGATATAGTTATGTCCGCATGAAGTATTAAGCAATAGCATTTCAAGCCATGTACGTAGAACTTGCAATAGTTACAGAATTATATAAGCAAACACATATAGTATGTATCATTCAAAAATTTGAACATTTTAATAAGCTAAGACACATTTAAACTCTTAATCATAATGATGTCTTACAAAACGTAAGTCAAAGAACATTGAACTACAACAAATTGTTCTCTTTAAAACCCATGTAAATCCAATTTAGTAAGCTGGTTGAATACAATGTTCAGTATACTCGTGCCAAAGCTAAAAAGTGCTTCCTGCAATAGTATGATCTGTAATGAAAACTAAAACCCATCCTATAACATTAGATGTCTCTACCAACGTGATCCCCAACAGTATATTTCCATTGACTATGAATCTATCTAAAATGACACAATACGGTTCACAATATAAGCTTTTCATCAAATCGAACTTCCATTTCCACCACCTAATCTGTCTGGCAGCTAAAAAGGTTTTACATGTTGAACAGGATTGGGTTCTTGAATGGAGTTGTTCTCCAATTGCAATTCCCTAGTTTCTTTGAATATCCGCTCTATGCCACCATCTTGTTCTGGTGGCTTTTTGTAATCTCTTTGACCCTCTCCATGTAGGAGAGTGTAGAGGGTTGCTTGTTTTTGCTTCTCGTGATCCCTACAAAGCATGGTCAACCAATAATGCTGGATTTTTACAATCTGTCATTAGTTCCTTCTTAATTGAGCAAGTTAGACGACATGTTAGGTACAAAGTCATTTGAAATTTTGAGACACCCATCTCCAATTACCAGTGACAGAGGACTCCCACCACCCCTATTAAACAGGTAGAGAGTAGAGAGTTCAGTCTTTAAGTTCAAACTCTAGTGTAAATAGCTATAAAAAGGGAAAGAAAACCTGAGAAGGAAGCATAAAAGAGGCTGATAGCTTGTGAATCAAATCAAAATTCACATCAATCTTGACTAACAGGCATCATCACCGCAAAAACTATTACCTGTAACCCCGGAAGAGAACGTGACGTTTTCAAAAGAGAAACCATTAGTTGTAACCTCAATAACATGCCATTTTCATACAAAACTCGAAACACATTTTCATGGAAGATGCATAAAGATCTTCATAACTGAATTTAAATTCGTGAATTGGAGTAAATAAGAGGAATTTTATTGGATGGGAGGCCGAAAGAATGACCTTTGCCTACATGGAGGCTCTTCTGAGCTCTCATACTGACATGAATTGCAGATGGGATTGCCTAACATTATTTGAGGGTGAAGGAGAGAAGCAGAATAAGACTGTGTCTTCGTAACAGCAAGCCATCCAGAGCTGTCGCCGACCTTGCTGATGAACTTGAGACCCCAGTGACAAAAAAAAAAGGAAACAGAGAAGCAGAATAAGACTGTACAGTGTTTCTTGCATTGTGAAAGATACTAAACAGAAGAATGAAAGCGCAGGAAGAAAACACATATATGCTTCTTTGATAAACCGTAGATGAAAGCTTTGTGAAAGTATAGGACAACTAACATGTTTTGCCTTCAGCTCTTCATTAAAGGTTACAGTTCGCTTGAGTTTCAGCAGGAGTTCAGATTCTAGTCTCATTTCACAAAGCCTGTTCTTCAACGCAAGATACTTCTGTTCATTCTTAGCTGCAGAAGCATGCTCCTTGTCAAAAATCAACATGTGCTATTAACGAATCAACTTTAGAAAGAAATGTTCCGAATTGCTACCCTGAAATTCTAACTTGTGACTCAGAAAGCATAGTTGCATAAGGAATGCAGGAACAGGGCAGACCTGTTATCATCAGAATCTGGAAACAGGGTTTTGGCATCAAAGGAAAGTTTTTGACGCTGATCCCAGCAACTTTGCTTCTTTAATCATGTGAGAGAACTTCGAACCTGCACTTCTTCAAAGTGAGCATCCATTCTGTGAGCCATTCTCATCTTGAGCAGCCTGCAGTATCACAATTAGCATTTCTCAAAGCCTGAAACCAAATGAATTCACCGGCAAGGCTAGAGCGCAACAATTTTAATCACGCCAGACTCATGTGAGCGAACTCTCGTTTAAACCATAGGATTCAGTTGATGCAAATAGAGTAGCCTTTCTATGCAAAGATAAAGCATAATAATCATCCTGAAAGTAAGTGAAAGTCCATATAAATCTGGATCACAAACCCAGACAACTATAAGGCCTCAGCATCCACAATCACCATGAGCATACTTGCACATTTCTCTTCTCATCTGGCACCTCTCTCTTCCTGTAACCTTCCCTCTTTTTCATTTGGAGACCTAGTTGCTGGTACCTGCATTAGCTTGATAAAAGAAGCCACATAACTCAGCTTGAGGGTGCAAAGGCTAAGATAACAGCAACGTCAACACCAATTGAATAAGTTAAGGGAGTATAACAGTTTAACAAATTGTATGTTCTTGCGATCAAATAATAGATAGAGCCACTTATGTCACCTGAACATCAAGGAATTGTTTGTTGTTTTCAACCACATAAGTCCACTGATCCCACTGATGTAAGTAGCTCTGCAAAAACCTACGATGAAGAAATTATATGTAAATCAACAATTCAAAGAAACAACGGAGAATTCATACAATGTTCTTGCAGAAGTTTCTAAATGTAGAGGCAAAGTGGAATCAACCTGCCACAAACCTTTTCTATGCTTCCATAACTGAAACCAAGAGCATGGCGGTCCTGGCCTCTCTTTCCTCTACTCCATCATATACTGTGTCATTGCCTCCAAAACAGCACCTGTCACCCCAACCTAAGATCTGAATGTATCCAGGTAAGGAAACCATTGCTTCTTGTTGTCGGCTCTCCATCTTCATGAGGAAAGAAATGTAATTTAGGTTGGTGAGCAAATCAACACTAACATTGCAATCTGGATACAACAATATGGCAAAGAATAAGACAAAGCATCCAGCAAGTAGAAGTCAAGAAAGTAACAAAAGCTTGGAACTGTTCTCTCAACTTGGACAATATTTTTAGTACACCCAGGGTAGAGTTGAACTTACCTGGTTAGTTGTTCAGAAGCTATTTCATTCTTTAGAAGGTCTATACCTACAATCCCATAATTTGTATATGAAGTTGAGCATTTCACTGAATCCTCGCACTTACCTACTGCATAAAAAATAGGAATCTTTCTTACATTCCATCCAAATATAAGAGTTACAACTTTCAAGCATCAAATACCAGGATACAGGCCAAACAAAAGCAAATAGGAGATCATGAGCTACCAAGGAAAATGCTTCCAAGTAATACCTTGGTTTCTAGAAAAGAGATCAAACATGCCCCATTCCTCCACCATAATTCGTCATACTTTTCCTAGAGCTGTGTAAACCAACCGTACATCGTTGCAATCTCAACTTCAGAGCATCTGATTTTGCACAAAGGAACACCAACGAATGAACATCGGATCTGTCAAGCTATAAAGCAGTCCTTGGAGATGAGAGGAAAGAAGATGAGCAAGAGTATTGAGAACGTAAAAGGAACCAAGTACGAAACAGAGGAAACCAAAAGCATACCTGGGATTTGGAGCTCCTCGTTTGATTGCTTCATATTGGCCCTGGTGAAGGCAAAATCAAGAGCTAGTTTTTGCCATCACCGTAGGCCGTAGTGGACATGAAGGTTGGGAATGACCAGTGGAGGAAGGAATCGACAGGTTCGTGATGCAAAACCGATCTCCGGGTGAGGGGTTCGCTCCTCGCTCGGCCGTCCGAAGATGGAATGCGGGAGGTGGTGGGAGAGGTGGGAGAGGTGGCCAAGGATCTTGGCCTGCTGAAGTGGGTTGCAAAGGTAGTACAGAGACGGAGTTCCCAATCGAGCTGAGAAGGGGAAGGGCAGTAAGAAGCATGGGAGCTGCCATGACTGAAAGGGCCCTTTCCAACGGTGGCGTGTAGCAGCAGCCATGAATTCGTAGCACGGCACGCTAATGGCAAACAAACCGGTGAAAGGACGGCAGGACACAATAGAGAGGTCAGCTCAGCTGCTGCGAGTACGAATGGCAATTGGCAAGGGAAGGAATGGCTGTCTGCTGGTCTGAGGGGAAGGTCATTATGTCAGGTCCCACGACCGCTGGGAAGGTTTGATTTGGGAAGCTGCTGGCCGAAACCTTCCACGAATCGGCACTAAAAGACAGGAATTGAAACAGTAATAAAAAAGATAGGGGAAAAAAGCGTACCCAGCTTTTATATACTAAAAGAATTAGAGGACACGGACCAAGAAATACATAGATAAATAGGGAGTTAAAATTGTTCCCCTGCCCACATCTCCACACTCGAACACCCGATCAGAAAAAACAACAATGGCCCCTCCAAAAAAGCAAAAAACAACGGCGGCAGATTGGGAAAACCTTCCCCACGACCTTCTAATCGCAGTATCCACAAAATCGACGAACCTCTCGACCAACATCCGTTTCACCGGCGTGTGCCGTTCATGGAGGCTCGCCGGCTCACTGGACCGCCGCCGCCTAATCGAGCGACAAATTCCAGGCATCATTCTTCCCCCCTCCAGTAACAGCCACAGCGGCGGCACGCGCGAGTTTATTCCAGTAACAGAGATCATTAACCATCAGAAGAAGAAGAGAAAGCCGAATCTCGTCCCCTGGCGGTTGGAGGAGTGGAGCCTCTGCATCGCGGGGTCGCCGCGAGGCTGGATTCTTGCTCTGGACTGTGACCTGAAGATGGCGCTGTTGAACCCTGCAACAGGTTCACAAATCGTCATTCCTGAAGATCACGACACTGTTGAGGCAATCAGAATCAGGCCCACTGAATTCTCATCGTGGGGATTCTGGCACAACAGGGCGACAATCTGGGCTCCACCCGATGATCACTCTGCTCCGGTTTCCGATTGGTTTGTCTTCGTCTTGATGCCTGAAGGAGCGCTTTGGAATACCTACATCAAGTACTGCAGAGTTGGAGATGGAGCCGGCTGGCGAGTCATGGAGTTTCCGGCGTGCCGATTCGGGTCGTGTTACATTGTGGATGCACTCTGCAGCAGTACAGAGGCAGGGTATCTCTATGTGCTGATGAGTACAGGGTAGCTCTTTCGCTGCAGTTTCTCCAAGAAGATGGAGACAACGGTGGTGGTGGAAATGACACCAAAAAGCTCTTCTCGTCAGGTTATTGGGGCTTTCGAACCCGGGGAGGAATATTTCAACTACCTTGTTGAAGTCGAGGGGGAAATTCTAGTGCTTCATCGGAACAGAGAAACTCAGGGGCGTTGCGCACAAGTGTACTGCAGGACTCGCGGGTTTGATGCGTATAAATTCGACAGGAAGGGGAAACAGTGGGTTGAGATCAGGGAGTTTGGAGCGGGAGGAGATTGCGCTGTGTTTCTCGGGTTCGGGCAGCCATTTACGGTTCGAGCAGATTCAGAGTTGGGGATAAAAGGGAACTGCGTTTACGTTCTGGAACTTGGAGGATATGGTGTTGAAGAGAGGCGCATTTCTGTGTATGATTTGAAGGCGTCAACCATTAGCTTCTTTCCTGTTCGTTGTGCGTTTGAGAGGCCATGCGCCGGGATGCCTGTCCAGGTTCCCATACCCATAGCTCCAGTGCCATGGTGAACAAGGATCAAGCAGCCATGACAACTATCATTGTTCCTGCATCATGCACCGTATCAGCCAAATCACGCGGGAGATTCGCAATATATTTTCAGATTATGTATTTACTGTGTTTGTCTGTATAGTACTCTTGTATGCCGATAAATACTGTGTACATTATCAATATTACAAAGTAAGAAGATTAAGTGGCTTTCCTACACAATAATCAACAATCTCTCCTATCATCTAACAAGTGGAGTTGCGACCTTTTTAACGGAAATAGTGCTCAAACCTTGGAGCTGAATGGAGATAACAGTTAGATAAGCTCGTTGAGCCTAGTTTCCGACAGTCTTGAAACTGAGTTTTAAGGAAGGCGATAGAGTGATAAAGCTAATAGGCAGTCAATGGGAAGTTATTATTAGGTAGAGTGACTACCTATTGATTTATTAGGTAATCAATAGGAACTTTAGCTCAACTCGCGAAATTTTATAACATTTCAATTCACTATGCATTTGAAGGTGCGAGTTAACCTAAACTTTGAACGTTCACTCAGTAATATGTGCATATGTCCACTTAGATGTTTCAAACACAACATTTGAGTAATTATGTTTTGAAAGCCCATATACGTGACAATTATTTTAAAATTCACAATATTTTTGCAAATCTCCCACAAATATTGCAGATTATACCGTAACGATGAAGCGGTTTATTTTATCGATTTTTATAAAAATTGTTAAAGAATATTACTACTTTTGGTTGTCCATTTGTGGTTCCGAACTTACAATTGGCGCAATGGCCAAATCCAACACAATTGACTATGTCATCCCTCCTCACAGTTAGCTTGACTACACTCTAAGAGATTGGAAAAATGACACCCCTATTATTTATAGCTATTTTGGGTATTAAATTTATGTTGTATTAAATAATTTTTGGGAATTAGAAAATCGGTGGCTACTTCGGCGCACTCACTTTTTGGGTGCACTCAGTGCACCCACTCTAAAAGTGTCCATATTACATCAAATTTTGAACTTTAATTAGTACTCTCAATCTAATATGATGATATGACATAGAATCATAACAAATCAATCTATTACCCTAACCCCTTAACCTTCAATTTTGAATCCCAATCTGAAATCCCAAATTTTAAACCTAATCCTAACCCTAAATCCCTAAATCCTTCAAATTAAAGTAAATTTTGAATGATTTTTTTTTTCAAATTCATGTGCTTCTTGTTCATAATATCATAAGCAACAATTGATACCGTTTTGACATGAATCACATGCTCAGAATGACAATTATGAGGCGGGTGCACTCAAAGTGGGTGCACTGAATACGCCACCTTAGAAAATCATATTGATTACATACCTTTTTTCATAATCAAACATATATTAATTATATTTCTCTCTCCCTATTTCCCACTATTTCCTTTCCCAACAATTTTGTTGTCTTCTCCGGATAGACTCCTTACGATCATACTCCCACCGACAGACTACTTTCGACCAGATTTTCTCTGGCATACTCCCTCTGACCACCTAAAAGAAAGTATCATTACATCAAAAAAATAATTTTTGCATTGATAAAGTTACATGTACACTGATATCATTGCACTTATACAACTATTATTAGGTGGGTGTTTGGAAACTTTTGAGGGAATCTAAAACGAGGTTTGAAAGTAAGTCACACGAGATCTGAAATATACTTCATTTTCCCCTTAAATTTGTAACACAACTAAATGGTCCAAATAAATTTATTTTGTAACTAAATAGTTAGGTAACATAACTAACAATTTTACTCGACAATGAAAATTTTAAAACTAAATGGTCCAAATAAATTTATTTTGTAACTAAATAGTTACACTTTTTCGTAATATAACAAAATTGTCATAAAGATTTGGGTTAATACCTAATTTATAATGATGGACGATTTTCCCCAAATTAAAAAAAAATCCCTACCATGTCAAAAATTTCAAAATAATTAGACTAATTTGGTATGATTTGCAGATTGACTATCAACTTGAATTGGCAATAACTTGGGACAGGTTACGGTGATTACTACATAAGGGTAAATTAATTAATAAATTGGGTATGAAAAATAAATTGTATTAATTAATTTTTTTAATAAATTACATTTTAGGTAGTTACAAGAATCTATTAATTACAATTCTCACTCTTTCTCTCACTTCTATAATCTTCAGCCAGATCCCGTTTCCTTATTTTTCTCAATCTTTCTGCAAAAGAAAAAAAACACGAAATCACTACCAATCCATTAGACAATCACTACCACTTTGAAAAATATCAATACCATTGCAGAAATAAATCTATACCATTACACGAAAACTACCAATATAAACAATCTACCAATATAAATCTATACCATTTCACAAAAAATCAATACCATTGCAGATTGAATCCATACCAATACATGCAAATTAATACCATTACATGATAATCAATACCAATGCGACAAAAAACAATACCAATGCAAAAAAACACTACCACTACGAAAAAATCACTACCAATGCGAAAAAATCAGATCTGGTCAAACCTTGCAATCGTTATGCTCATAGATTTACTGTCACTACTAAATTGAATCTCGCCATTGTAATTCATTTTCTACCATCAAATCCTTAGAAACGAATTAGCTTCCTGAGAGGGGATTAGAAGACAGAAGAACAAACCTCTTCATAAGGCAATGCAAGGGACCCGAAAATCTTTCAGGGAAACCCCAAAATCCAGCCGCCCTAAAACGAAAAGCCCAACTAAGAAGAGCCCCGAACCAACTGCTATCCTTCTATTTAGATTCCTAGTCGGGAATTCGGGGAGACCAGCGGAATCAGAAGACGAACTCGTCGCCTCGCCGGCGTCGTTCGTCCCTGAACTATCAGCCTGTTTTTCCTGCACTTGTTCAACAAAATGAAATCGGAACCTAAACTCAGGTGAAAGGAAACGAAGAAGCGTCGGGAAATCGCAGCGGCGTACCTTAACGGTGGATTTGGTTTGGCATGCTACGACCAGGAATTGCCTCCGGGGTTTCTCATGGAAAGGGAAGGTGGCTCTGGTAAACGGCACCGGCGGGAGAAGGGAGAGACGGCGGTAGTTAGATAGGTTGTATTAGGGTTTGAGTATAATATATAGAGTAATAAGGTGTGGTATGTTTTTCATTTTCTAAATTACCTTTAGCTAATTTTAATCGTTAATTTAAAAATTTAATAAAATAAAGATAATGAATGGTATAGATGTTGGTAGCCACCGTGATTACTCAATTTTGAGTAACCACCCTAACCTATTCCCAATAACTTTAACCATTAGTTCACCACATCAATATAAACATAAATACAAATACAAATTTTAAAAAATAAATTATTCAATATTTTTACTTTCATTATTTCAAGACTTGAGGACCTAATTCGTCTTAGAAAAACTTATTAAGGACCTAATTGTATAACTTAATTGACCAAATATTAACATTTCAGTGATTTCACAACTCACAAGTCACAAGCCAGCGGAAGCCATTAACTCCATTCTCCGGCTCAGCCGAACAAAGCACCCTTCTCCTCCGACCTCCGGAGCCACTTTCTTCCTCTCAGCTCACCTTTTTCATTTAATACGCTACCTATCCGAAGCCGGTGCTACAGCTGCTCCGTCAGCGCCGAGTCCCGCCGCCATTCCCACCCTGCAGTTGTGCTGCTCTAACCCTAAAATTTCCTTCAAGAAAGTAGAAACCCGTAATTGCTTCCGATTGACCAACGGGGTCATCGTGGTAGCTCTTCGAAGTTCGAACGTTCACCGGCCGGTCCAGCTATCAATCAGCTTAATTTTATCGTCGCCGATCTTGTTATCAACAGCTCATTGAGATTTTTTGCTCCAAGTGAGTCAAATTGAGCTGCAAACTTCTGTTTTCCCTTCTTTACCTTTCCTTGGATTCAACAGGTGGCGTATCAGAAGGTATTTGCAAGTTCCTAAGGCACTAAAGTTCTGTATTTTGGTCACTGTTCATCGTAATTCCTCAAAATTTGGCTGCTTTTCGTTTTGTTCCTAAATGTGCGATTCCAGTTTTTTCCTTAGGGAGATGATTTTGAGTGTCTTACCCGTTATTGCTTCCATGTGATTAGGTGCCTAGCAATCAGCTGCTAATTCAGTCTTGCGGTTACTGACGACTTGTCTCCACATTGGTGACTTATGGGTCCTCTGGCTGATAACTCTGCCGATGGTTCAGTGACAAACATGGAGCAGTTTCTTTGCGAACGTTTAGTTGACCCCTCCCAGCCAATATCTGAAAGGTTCAGGGTCCTCTTTTCGCTTCGTAACCTCAAAGGTCCGGGACCTCGGGCCGCTCTTATTCGAGGTTGGCCTTTGTTCCTCCTCCTTCTGTCACTTAGTAGAACTAGTCTGATGAATGTTAGTATTCATAACATTAAGAAGCAAGATTTGTTTGCGCTGTTGTCAGTTAGAATCATAACCTCTTGTGTTCTGGTTGATTGATTGTTCAAAAGTTACCTTATTGTTGGACTTCAACCTTTCAACCTTGCATATTTTGTTTCTAAAAAAAATAGCAATATTGAATAGCTATAGCTGCTAATTCTGTTGAGAGGTGTGGTAATGGTAGATGCTGGTTCAGGCTAATAAGACAGGTAACTGTCAGCCATAATTAATCACGGGTGGCAAAAGTTTTTAGCCATGTATAGGGATTTATTCACGACTGTTGAAGATTTGTTTGTTGTTAATCCTTTGTATTGAAATCCTCCTGAAAGTTGGTGGGCCTTGAATTGACTAATTCGTGCATCTGGTTATATGGACTACATCTGATTCCTGCTGCTGCAATTTTTATTTTATTTTTGTACAGTGTCTCTTGGGGTATGTTTCTTCTGATTCTGATTAAGGTTGCATTGATTATTCTTTTGAATGTTAAGCAACAAGGGACTCCTCAAATCTGTTGGCACACGAGGCTGCATTTGCATTAGGCCAAATGCAAGACTCTGAGGCTATCCCGGCTCTGGAAGCAGTTCTAAATGATCTCTCTTTGCACCCAATTGTTCGCCATGAGGTGTTGAACCTTCCCAATCTTTTCTCCTTCCTAATATTGTTTATTGGGTGGTTTCTGAGTATAGGTTTTCTCCATTGTTCTTACAGGCTGCAGAAGCCCTTGGTGCAATTGGTTTGGAGAGTAATATACCACTTCTAAAGAGAAGTTTGGTCTTAGATCCAGCTCAGGAGGTCAGAGAAACTTGTGAACTAGCTCTCAACAGAATTCAAGAGATGAATGCTACAAATGGTGCTGATCAATCAGCTGTAATGGAGAAGTCACCCTTTTTGTCAGTTGATCCAGCTGCACCAGCTTCCTCTTGTTCTTCTGTCAATGAGCTCAGGTATTGTCTTTTTCTGGTTCAGATGAAACCCTATCAAACTATGTACTTCCTATTTTATCCAAAAATTGCATCCACAAATAATAATGAACCTCTCCTAGGGAAGTTCTTCTCGATGAAGAAAAAGCCATGTATGAACGATATGGCGCTCTTTTCGCACTACGTAACCATGGTGGGGATGAAGCCATTTCTGCTATAATAGATTCATTGCAGTCAAAGAGTGCCCTGCTTAAGCACGAGGTTTGTTAGTTTTCCTCTGCATGAACCGTTTGATGTAGTTTGGTAGACCTTAAATAGCTCCTTGTTCAAATCAGTTCTGGTTTCTTCCTCCAGGTTGCTTATGTTTTGGGCCAGTTACAGAACAAAGCTACTTCAGCCGCACTTAGCTCTGTACTGAGGGATGAACACGAACATCCAATGGTCAGACACGAGGCTGCTGAAGCTCTTGGTTCTATTGCTGGTACTTCATTGCGCTTTTACTAAAACTTGTTTGTTGAGTTCTTGCTTCTACGGTTCCAATGCATAGTATTAACGACTCCAATGCATCGTCGTGTAGATGATAAAAGCATCCAACTTCTGGAGGAATTCTCAAAGGACCCCGAGCCTATCGTCTCACAGAGCTGTGAAGTTGCCCTAAGCATGCTAGAATATGAAAGATCCGGGAAATCGTTCGAGGTGCATTCCCTTTCCTCTCTTTCTTTGAAAAATACTGGGAGCGCCTTTCTGCAAATCTGACTACCCCTGTATCCTTTTGCAGTACCTTTTCATGCGAGATCCACTAGCACAGGCGTAAACTAGACGTGCATGTTCCTGCAAATTTACAGAGCTGCTCAACCTCAAAGAGTTAGTAGTCCTTGAATGAAGCAGTCGATACAGAAAAGCGCCTAACTTTTACCGTCGAGGATTAGGTGTTGCTTTAAGTTTGATATGAACAGTCAATATCATAAACATATTAACTTTACATATTTAAAGCTTAAACAGTCTAATACTAGCTAGAATTGGAAAAACCGAGATCGGCAAAGACCATTTTAGATTTTTAGTTTCTTCTGTTTGTTCGTATCGCTCTACTTCTTTTTTTTTTTTTTTTTTAGGGGAGTATCGCTCTACCCTTGATATCAACTATATGAGATTTTTGTCTGGATGGATGAGTGGCTGGTTGCGTACACATTGTGTCGATAATGATAAAAGACCAATGACTGAACTTCTGGAACTATACATGGAAGTGAGAAAACCCAACATTATTTAACTCCAGACGTGTAATGGAGCATTGTCTTCTCAGAAACAATGAGAACAAGAACGAATATAATCACGATTAGAACTGGATCGGCACTGTATATGAATTGATTGGTTCAAATTTAAATCGATCCAAGGTTGGATCGATTTAAATTTGAACGATTCGATTTGATTTGATATGGATCAAATTGTTGTCGTGCCTTGTTTGAGCAAAAACCTTCTTGGAGTTTATAGTACTCGAGCTGCTCTAGCGCTTTCACATGTACCATATTTGGTATTTGTACTATCAAATTTGTTCATCACAAACGCGCTAATTATTTGGCCAATTACCTCTGTGGTGGATCGACACTCGGGGTCTTTGTATTGCATTTACCTATATCCAACTGGAATTGGTGACTTCTATAACAATGGCGAAGCTTAAAGCTTTGGGCAGCCAGTAGATTATTGTTTATACAGTCAACACTTATTCAATATTTCATCATGAAACATGATTACTAGTTAATAACAATCTATAATCACACTGTAATTAACGTTTTTTTTACTTTTTACTCACTCCCTCCACAGCCAATGCTGCAACATCCCTGGTTTCTCTGATCACTTCTCCTACCTTGTGGGTTTTCCATTAGTTATCTCCCCTTAGTTCCATCAAAGTCGCACAATGAAAACACTGACAGCAACCCATCAAGCAGCATAAGTTCAACCGCCGGCCGATCAACGGTCACTCCCTTCACCTTTCCCATTGGATCCACATAGCAACAACGTTATGGCCCGTAATAGATCTTCGTAAACTCAACGTTCTAAGACAAATTGACGGTCTCTTCAAAGTGTTCAACACGCGTTAATTGTCTCTCCCAAATCCTGACGAATCTCTTCGCAGACTATATAAAGCACGTTTCAGGAGTTGCCAATGCAGCACAACACAAACCCACAGAACAAAACCAAACTGTTCTGTTGATCCCTAGCTTCTTTCTCCATTCATTCGAGAAATGGAGAACAAGATGATTTTCGCAGGTCTTGCAGTGCTTCTGATCAGCCTTGCTTCAGTCCCAGCTTCCTTCGTCTACGGAGAAGCCGAATTGGACACTTACATTGTGTTCTTGCAGAAACCTGAAGGCCTCTCCACACTTGCAGATGGAGATTTGGAGTCATGGTACAGCACATTCCTTCCTGATACTACTCTGGCCAGCTCATCATCCACGACCCGATTGGTCCACACCTACCGCAATGTCGTGACAGGATTCGCGGCGAAGCTGACCAAGGGGGAAGTAAAGGCCATGGAGAAGAAGGATGGGTTCATCTCCGCTCAGCGCGAAAAGATGTACAGTCTGCACACCACTCGCACCCCTGCATTCTTGGGATTGCAGCTCAACAACGGTCTGTGGAACGGTTCCAACAACGGGAAGGGCGTGATCATCGGAGTACTAGACACCGGTGTGACACCGAACCATCCTTCGTTCAACGACCTGCACATGCCCTCTCCGCCTGCCAAATGGAGAGGCAAATGCCAGCTACCGAAGTGCAACAAGAAGCTCATAGGAGCTAGGAATCTCGTTGGGGACACGTACGCGACCGATGATGAAGGCCACGGAACTCACACTTCTAGCACCGCTGCTGGGAGCCCCGTGCAGGCCAGTGCCTTTGGGCAAGCTAGCGGCGTGGCCTATGGGATGGCGCCGCTGGCTCACATTGCTATGTACAAAGTCTGCTCAGAAGAGGGTTGCCCTGGAGGTTCTATACTAGCAGGAATCGACGCTGCTGTCGCGGATGGCGTCGACGTGCTCTCGCTGTCCCTGGGCGGAGCTTCGTCGCGTTTCCCCGAGGATCCGATCGCTGTTGGTGCTTTCGGAGCGATTCAGAAGGGGGTTTTCGTCAGCTGCTCTGCTGGAAATGCTGGTCCTGCAAGCGCCTCGTCGGCCAACGAGGCGCCCTGGATTCTGACCGTTGGAGCTAGCACCATCGACAGGAAGATCAAGGCCACCGTTCTGCTAGGAAACAAAGCGGGTTACGACGGACAATCGCTGTTTCAGGACAAGAAATTCCGTCACCGGTTGTTGCCCCTTGTGTATGCAGGGGCGAATGGCAGAGCAGCTTCCAGATTCTGCGCCCCTGGCTCGCTGAACAAGTCGGTCAAGGGCAAAATTGTCTTGTGCGAAAGAGGAGGGGAAATTGCTAGAATTGGCAAGGGACAGGAAGTGAAGGACAATGGCGGCGCTGCTATGATCCTGATGAATGATCAACCGAACGGTTTCGACACTCTGGCTGATGCTCATGTCCTCCCTGCATCCCATGTCGGATTCGTTGCAGGCGAGGCGATTAAGGCGTATCTGAACTCCACCAAGTCGCCGAAGGCCACAATCCTGTTCAGCGGGACTATATTCGGCAACCCGAATGCTCCTCAGGTCGCCTCGTTCTCCTCCAGGGGTCCCAGCCTGGCGAGCCCCGGGATCCTGAAACCTGACATCATCGGCCCTGGAGTGAATATCTTGGCAGCTTGGTCCGTTTCGGTAGACAACATAACCAACCCACCGTTCAACATGATATCAGGAACTTCAATGTCCTGTCCTCACCTCAGCGGCATTGCTGCTCTGCTTAAAAATGCTCACCCTGATTGGTCCCCTGCCGCGATCAAATCAGCGATGATGACTACCACATACCTGTCGAATCTCGGAAGGACGAAACCTATCCTCAATGAACAGCTTCAGCCTGCTAACTTGTTTGATATGGGTGCAGGGCACGTAAATCCGGTCCTGGCTGCAGACCCTGGACTTGTGTACGACCTCCAGCCCAACGACTACATTCCTTATCTGTGCGGGTTGGGGTACAAGGACAGCGAGATCTCGGGGCTCATACAGCGCAAGGCGCACTGTGGGAATGTGACCATTCCCGAAGCTCAGCTCAACTATCCTTCGTTCTCCATCAGGCTGGGTTCTACTCCCCTGACGTACTCGAGAACTGTGACGAATGTCGGCCGGGCCAATTCGGTGTACGTAGCTAAAGTTGTGCTGCCAAGAGGAGTTAATGTCAAGGTGCATCCTGAGAGGATTGTGTTCAATCGTTTGAAGCAGAAGGCCACGTTCACCGTGACGTTTACGAGCAAGGGATTCTCTGCTGAAACTTACTCTCAGGGGTTCTTGTACTGGCTCACCAAAGGTTATGTTGTGAGGAGTCCGATTGCCGTTATATCTGCGTAAGGAAACAAGGTGGATTTCAGCTCTTTACTTTCTCAGATTTACTGAAGGTAGCAGGTTGGTTTTGTAACAATACATTTTAGTACGTTTCAATGTTCATCAAGCAATTGGTGGTGCTTGACTGCCACTCATAGGTGGTGGCATGTGAGAATGCATCAAAATGTATGCATTATCTCTTAGCTTTCTCTTTTTTATTAGATTTTATGCAATAAATGTAAGCGCCGCCTAATCTTCATTATGTTGTAGTAAAATGGTGTATGCAGTCCTATTAGCATTTTTATTCGAACTGTTTCCAGAACTGCAATATTGTGACTCTTTATCATTCATTGTGGATCGGTTGCGCATGAATATAGAGAGTCACGAAATGAAGTAGTAATCAACACAAAAAATAAATAAATGAAACCTGATAGCAGCCAATCGAATAAAGTGCAGAATTCGTATAGCTAGCGGTTGCCAAACAATGTACGTTTTACACCAACCTGATCAGTAATTCATCAGTTCCTTGCTATATATATCCAGTCTAAGTGTCTAACTAGTAATGATGCAACGGACTGCCCTTCTGAAGCAAAGCATTGTAGTTTGGTAACTGAAATTCTCTCGTCTGGCTCCAGCTGAAGTTCTCAACTTAACTAACTCCAAAAGTATGGCTGAGAAATTGAGAGTTAATTAAACAAACTGAAAAGAAATGTGTTGGAATTTGTCACAATCCTTCGACGTGATGCCTCCATTAGAAATCGGAATTGGAAGCAAAATTGTCGTCATGTGTTCTCTTTAATATTACCAGAAATGGCATTGATCAGGTTATTGAGCCTGGCTCAATAATATCTCCACAATTTGTCCAATTAAGGTGAAGGAAACAAAAAGGGTGTTCTAGTCTATCCTATTCCACGGTAAAGTTGTCTCCACATTAGAAATTTTCATATATGAAACAGGCAGAATACAATGTACCATAATGTTAATCCAAGTTAACTTAACTTACCTATAAATTAACCAATATGCAAAGTATCTAAAATATTATGAATAAAATCTCTCTACATAAAATGTTAATACTCCATAATATAACCATAAAAAATGCTCCATAAATTTATGGAAAAAAAGAAAAGAAAATCAGGCAGATACAAGTCGCCTACCCGCAAACTTCTAATCCAACTCAAACTATTGCACAGTCTGATTAAAATGTGACAAAAAGATTAATATATCTTATGGAACTCTGATTACTCGGCAAGAAATCGGAAAACTATGAACTCCCTAACTTATGACAAATTGATAGATAATCCAAAGCTGACAATTAAGCACTTCCTGTTGCCGGACAGTGGGCACCCCTGACAAACGGTCACTGAACTTTAAGGTCACTGATAAACAGGTCATCAAACTTTTACTTTTTAACGAACTTGCCAACTGTTTCGTTGGCGAAACTTCACGTGTTCGATGCGCACTGTTTTCAATTAAAACACAAACACGAAATCAGCAAAATCGTCAAATATCCGCCGCCGAAGTCGGCGTCGTTGATTTGATCGATTAAAGCAGAAACCAAGACGATCGTCAAATGGCCGCCGCCGGTGTCGGCGTCGTTGATTTGATCGATACACCTTTGACTTCTAATCAAACAACTGTTATTCGGTTCAACACCTCTCCAAACTACGTTCGAACGAGGGTGTTCGACGAATAAACAGAGAATCGAACCAGGAGTGTTCTAAGTTACGTTACCTCTACTCCTATGGAGGTTCCTCTGGAGAGCTCCGCGACTACAACTACAAGCTACGACTACGACTCTGCAAAGGAGGTCTTTGACAGAGCGGTTCTACGAACTAGAGAGAGAAAAGATAAAATCTTCGACGGTGCAGTTTGTGATTTGATTTTGCCGTCTTGAGCTTCTCTCTCTTCTCGATCTTTATACCCCGATCTTCTCCCCGTAGTCGTAGTAACCGCCTTCGCGCCTTTGTCTCCCACGTTCTTCATTCCTGTCAACCGCAGATAACTCCCTCCTTGTTGCGTAACTCCCACAAGTACGAAACCGCTTGGACACGCGGGAACTTGGCCAAAACGACACTGAGCCAAAATCGACAATCCTCCACCACGGTTCGATCCTCCAAACACCTTGTCCACATGATAAACAAACGACATCGAGTCCACCACATCGTCAAAACTGACCTCTCGCCACGACGTTGTTTTTGGCTAACCAGCGCCGTTTCCTATTCCTGCGGTGTCGTTCCACGGAACAATGTTGTTTTTACACTGTTTATGTGAAATTTCTCATGACATTGTTCTATATTAAACACTGTCGTTTTCTATTTTTGCAATGTTGTTGAACTTTGCGATGCCGGTTTAAATTTAACGATGTCGTTTTAACTACAGCGGCATCGTTTGGCCCACTCGCGGCATCGTTTTTAAATCCGCGATGTCGTTTCTTCCTCTTGCGGCATCGTTTTCAACTAAACGACATCGTGCTAAAAAGTCATTAAAAATATTAGTTAATTAATCCGGTCATCACTAGTCAAACTCGTGTGTTGACCAACGACATCATTAGCGCCAAAACGGCTCTGTTTGCCTTTCCCTTCCCGACATTGTTTTTTATTTAAACACTGTCGTTTGCTAATTCGCGGTACCGTTGGGCTTACTCACGGTACCGTTTTGAATTAAACGACACCGCTGATATAGCCAAAAAATATTAATCCATGGAGCCGCCGCCAGTCGGCGCTCGCATTGGGCTTGGTGAATTTTGGTCACTTACCCGATATGATTTTTAATTAATCGGTACCGCTTACCAGGCTCTCGCGGCATCGTTTTTAAATCCGCGGTACCGTTTTAACTCTCCGCGATACCGCTTATCTCCATGCGGTACCGATTTTCCCCTTCCAACAAGGAATAAAAATATTAATTAATTATAAACAAAAACTCCTTCCCCGACACCTACACTAAAACGCGCGGCTCCTTTTCTTTTCCGGCAATGTCGTTTTCTGTGTCGCGGTACCGCTGAGCTTCCTTGCGGTACCGTTTTTCTGTTTCGCGGTACCGTTTTAACTCTCCGCGATACCGCTTATCTCCATGCGGTACTGATTTTTCCCTTCCAACAAGGAATAAAAATATTAATTAATTATAATAATAATAATCAAAACTCCTTTTCCAACACCAATACCAAACGCGCGGCCCACATCTTACCTCCTGGTAAACGGTGTCGTTTTAAGTTTCGCGGTTCCGCTGAGCCTCCTTGCGGTACCGTTTTAACTCTCCGCGGTGCCGCTTGTCTCCATGCGGTACCGCTTCTCCCCTTCCCACAAGGAATAATAATAATAATAATAAAACTCCTTTTCCAACACCGATACCAAAAGCGCGGCCCACATCTTGTTTTCCGATAAACGGTGCCGTTTCTAGTATCGCGGTACCGCTTAGCCTCCTTGCGGTACCGTTTTAACTCTCCGCGGTGCCGCTCGACTCCAAACGACACCGTTTTTTTTTACCCGCGGTATCGAATTAAATGCCGAGACTAATTAATGCGGCATTTAATTCAGGCCAAATTAATTTTAGGTGTCAACAAATGCCCCCCACAATTTGGTTTATAAGAATTATGAACCAAATTGTTGACAAAATCCATAACACCTAAAATAATTTTAATTTAAACCACCAATCCACCAAAAATTGGCGGAAATCTTTTGGCCTATTTTTCCTCTTTAGCAGGCCTGCATAGCTGCCTCGGCCACACATGTTTTTTTTTTCCATTTTTTTTTATTTAGAGCTGCTTGGCCGCACACTACTCCTTTTGTCGACAGAGCTGTTAGACTCCAACAACAGCCGCGACATTGCTTGGCCGCAGCGCTGAGAGACATTTTATTTTATTATATTTTATACCATTGCGGCCACGCTTAGGACCTCCAGCAGCACTGTTCATCATCCAAACAATCCTCTTTTTTTTCCTTCTTCTTTTTCAATTCCTCATCAGCGCTGTTTTGGCCGCTCTCTTTTTTTTTATGGTATAATATAATAGTCATTTTGCTTCCACAACACCGTGCCCCCCAACAATGTTGTTGATATGAAAAGACAAATAAAGCGGCACCACTGCTACGTGGCTTAGGCAAAAATGGCCATGTTTGGTCATTATTTCCTAATCAACCATTATCAAAGAAAATTAAAAGTAAAGCCTTGTTTAATCTTTGTCGATATTGTGACTATCTCGACAACACAGTAATCGACAGACCATATTTAACAACTATGGCTTAAAGAAAACAAACCATTTAGCCAAAACAACCATACACCAACAGCCTTGACTAGGTTAATGCAATGCCGATGGCATCTACGTAGCTCAGTCATGCATGAATCCAAAATAAAAAGCGATAAACTGGCTATACAACATGATTGCAACATATCCATGTTATATTTCCTAACATTCACACGTAAAACAATCTTTGAAGCCATTCAGAATCAGAGTTAACTCGTACCTGTCAGAGTCATGCAAGCTGGCAATATGAACGTTGAATGTGGATCATCCTTCCTGTCAAAGTTGATTTCTTCCACAATGTCGCAGACAGCACCGCTGCTTCCTCTCCCAACTTGTTACTCGCATCCTCGCCGTTGATCGGCAACCCCTCTATCAAGGCCGTGATTTCGGCCTTCTCCACCCTCTCTTGAGGTGGCTTACTTTGATTTTGATGGACCACCTAATGCACGCATTGATGGTCTCACAATTTCAGACAAGTGGTTCAAGCAAGCCTTACTCAACACTCTCGCGCTTGAAACTATGACGTTGGACATTCCTCCATCCCCACTCCTGATTTCAAGTGGTCCAAAATCTCCATGGTACAGATAAGCTTCAGCCACGTTAGCACCAACGACAAACGGCTTTGTGTCAGCCTGTACCATCTCAACGATACCGTCTTCATTCCAGAGCATCAAATACTGATGCAACGATGGAGGAACGCGCTTGTTGACGTGGATCCAATCCCAGCCAAGTAGTGCGTTGTAGCTTATCATTCCATCCACCACGAAGAAAGCACTCATCCGCTTCTCTG